ATTTAAAAAAAAAAATGTGTAAAACGGAACAAAAAGCACAGGAAGCAGAAAGCCTCTCAAAGCCGTCAGAGGAACAGCCCGTCAGAGCGCGCCTGCGACAGATGCTGGAGAGCCGCGTTGCGGCGGCACCGAACGGACCTGCCCCTGACCTGCCCCTCTGCTCATACCCATCTCTCACACCCGTGCTTTGGGTGACACACTGAAGGTGGAAACAGCAGAACCCAACCATCTGAACAAAAAAAAAAACCAACCCAAACCAAACTTCCAACGTACTCCCCGTCCTGCCTGAGAAGTTGGAAGCGCAGAGGGACACACACCCACCCGTGACACCCAGAGCTGCACTGTCCTTGTCCACCCCGCTTGGCAGGAGCTGGGAGGCAGCTCCTCGTAGTAATAACTCAAAAACTCGTGGAAGTTCCTTAAGAAACAGTGGAACCTTCAAGCCTGCTGAGGCCCTTGACTCCCCAACAGGCTCAGAGCACCCGCCACGCTTCTCTGGTCAGCAAAACACTGTAAGCCGGCAAGAACAGCTGCTGAAATGTGAAGTAACATGGCTACGTTCCAAGCACTGGCATCGAGCAAGCAGAAGAAAGACACACGGCTCAAAACCCTTTAGAACAATCATGGCAGCTACCACCACCAGTTTCCGGATTTCCCAAACTATAGACATTCCTACTGTGCCACACTGGTGAGCTCTGTCAGGGTATGTCGTCACTGTCTCCATAGAAACTACTTCCAAAAAGAAAACAGCAGAGGCAAATAAAAAAACAAAAAGCATCATGTGGAAAAAACAAACAAGACACTTGTGCTGTGGCTTTTTCTTTGTCTTTTGGGGTTTTTTTAGGTGAACGTGTACCTCGACTGCATCTTCACCGCCCACAGCACAGCTCCCCCACAACCATGGTATGAACATCACCGTATCCTGTCACATTTTGTATTTGTAAATCTAATGCTCTGAGGCACACCACTAGAGTGGGAAAAATGCATGAATGGAATGGAGGCGTACAATTTATATTCAGCTCAAATAATTCTGTATGCTGAACGATGCCAAGCAGAGAGCTCAATATTACTATTTTCCCTACTTTAAATTTCCCGTCTCAAAATCGACACTACTACCCAATATAGGAGTCTGTTTAAATTCCCTTAGAGAAATCAGTATTTACAAATCTCAGGCAGCAGAAACAAGTGCTATTGCACCGCTGAGATTGGCTGCCAGTTCTGTTTCCATAGAAATGAGCATTCATTTGCTGAAATACGGGGAGGTGCTTTAAAGAACCTTCTCCGCTTTGCAGGGATACATATTATTTCTGGTGGAGTAAGAGGGCAAAACTACCAGCACGCATTAAGATTTTGCTTAACAGGCAAACAATCCTGATCAGATTCTCTTCATATGCAATATAATTACAAATGTAAACAAACGCCAAGGTTTTCATAGCAGCTAATTCATTCACATATCTGACATAAAAAAATTACGTCTGTTTTTACTATACATATCTAAGGGCAAGATGGGGGAGGGGGGGAAAGATCACTTATAAACTAAAACAACTTAAAAAGCAAAGGTCAGTTGGAGGGGTAAGTTAGCAGTGTGGTATTATTTAAGCTTGCAATTGGTCCTCATCAAGCTAAAGCACTATGACTGTTCCCCAGTTGCCTTGTTAGACAGACAGTTCTCATCTGTTGGCTTTTGAAACTCCCCTACATCCTGCCCCAATTATTCCATCCACACTTGTTTCAATACACTTTTCACCTCACCTGCTCTCCTGGCATTCCCTAAGGTAGCTGGTTGCCCTCCTCCTCTTTACAGTTCCACCAGGGCTCAGATTCAATGAAGGAAAATCGTAACACAAGACCAAAGAGACCATTCACACTAGTTCCATTCTTAACACAGCCAAAGGGCTAACAAGGTATTAAATCTACTACTGTGATTAAGGCTGCAGGTATAGTATCTTTTCCTCTCCTCCCTGCATTTCTCCCACATACCTGGTATCCTTTCCTCCTCTCCTCCCTGCATTTCTCCCACATACCTAAGCATACCAATACGTTTTTAAGATCTGATATGTGTTTAATCATGTTAGTACAAAGATTATTTCTTTTAAAATATATATTTGCTTTGTTCATTAAAAGAAGTACATGCTGAACAAAGAGACTGAACAACTGGTATTACTATTGTTTGATCAAAGAATCCTAAGTCACACCCCTGGATTCTCAGAAACTAGGCCAGCACAACAAATATTTACTTCCACAGCAATGTCACTCAGGACTATGAAGAAGCTCAGACCTTCCACAGCTGTATTACAACAGCCATTCCCTACCCATCACATACTGAAGAAAATCCTCATCAGAACAGCTAACTTATTGGGGAAAGTAACTCAAGCTGGCATAAAGCCATTCCTTTTGCTCATAAAAAGGTCCACTACAGAGCTGTGCCAGTTTAATTATATTAAAGCTTGTCAAACAGTTTTTCATCCCTTCCTCTTCGGAAACATAACCCTATTCCCCACACACATTCACCAACTTAACTCCAAAACATCCAAAGCACTAATAACATCCTCAAGACGGTAACAAATGTATTTAGAAATTAAAATCTGGCCTTTATCCCAAGACTTTCAGTAAAGCTCCTAGAAGAAGCGTTGGCAATAAGGCTAAAAGAATTCTACAGTAACTTCCAATCTACACATGCAAGCAGTAAATATAAAATGTCTTTTATAGAATAATGAAGAACAAAGCCAAGATACAGTGTTAACAACGGAAGAGTATCTTTTCAATAACATTAAAAACTTGCATAGATGGACTCAACCAATAAAACTAGGTTCAAGTAAAAACACTGAAACCAATGTATTACAGGGATTCTGTCTCTCTGGTAACAAAACAGAATCATAGTAACTTTTGCACAGAAATTGCCACCTGCAAGACAAAATCAATCATTTACACAGCTGCAGATTATTATTCACAGCTGCAGTTTACAGATGAGATTAAAATGGCTTAAAGGAAAAAAAAACTTAATCAACTCTCTTAAAATAGAAATTAAAAGTTTAGAAGTAAACTAGTCCAGCAATGTTGTATTTATGTTTTCATATATATTTAAATTATTTCAATGCATTTACATTCCTTCATTTAACTTTCTCCATTCTCCTGAGAACTACCAACAGAAAAAAATACATGTAAAACACATCTTTGAACCTCTCAAACCTATGCAGCAATATTAGCTTTAAATACAGAAGATAATAATTTACACTTTCACAATTAATAAATTTACAGTCTACCAGAACATTTAAGTAAAACATTTCCCCCCCAATTTCATATGTTTTTATTTTGTGGGCTTTTTTATATTAATTCCTACAAAACTTTGTATTCTAAGTGTTTAAGAAGAGCAATGTTTTATTTCAAAGCAGAATACAGCTTACTGCATCAAAGGCTGTAAAAACACGTTCCTTTTAACCCAGTGTCTTCTGTTTCCCCTTATAAAATGTGTTGCAGAAGACAGAAAACAAAGATTTAAAAACAACTATTTTAGAGCCACTGCCACAATACCTCCCTTGTTGTGCTCTTATGTAACAGGTCTTTTTCTTATAGTTTTAAGTAAGAAAGAATGATGGGCTTGCTCTTTCATACTATAAAAAAACTATACAAAGAACACAGTAGAACACAACCAGGATTTCTGCACAATAGGTTTTCTTCACACGAAATACAGCAGAAATAAAAAGCTCAGTTAAGAAAGTCCTAACTTCAACATGTAAGTGCCTTTAGCGCTGCAGTCATCTATTTCTTTAATGTAAAACTCCATTTATTATAATCATTACTCATCATTTTAACTGAGAAATCAAACCCATCACTACATTACCATTTTCTTTTGGAAAGAAAGATAGGATAACTGTTTGATCTTTTTTCCCCATGCATTAATACTTCACAGCATTCTTGTATCCTCTACTGAGAACACATGTAACTTGTTTAAGATGACATGCTTCTTTCCATGCAGCTTCAACCTTTTGCAATTGTATCCTGCCTGCAGACCAGCAGCTACTTTACTAATACAGTACAGCTCTGTTTCCCTGTCTCATTTTCTTAGTATTCACGTATGTTTCTAGTCATCCATCTGACACCGATAATGCAAGTACTCATTTTATATTAATCTAAAACAAATTATTTCATACTCACCATTGATGCTACTTAAAATCATATTTCCAGAGTTTCTTACTTCATCAAATTTTGCAAAGATTGTTTGCAACCTGTGAAGAACAAAGCAATATTTTTACATTTCTGAAATCCCCCAGGTTACTGCTAAAAACAGAAATCAGTTTATTAGCCTATATAAAGCACTAATATATAATATACAAGGAATTGAGACTATCTAGAAAAAATTCCTAAAGGACTCCTCTGAAGTTAGTAGAGCATCTTCACCCAGAAAATGAAGTCAACATAGCAAAGAACAAAACTAAGCATCATCATTAGCATGATTAAAAATAACTAAAATTTTACAATTCAGGTTCAGTAATAGTATACACCGGGTTCAGGTGACTGTGATACTACTCTATACACAACACTAAGAAGCAACAATTTGAACTACCAAGTGTTCATGTGGGTAAAAAACAGGGATTACTATTTAATTTGTTCTGAGACATTACCGACTTTCCTCTAAATTTTTGTGCATCAGAGTTTCCTCAGTCTTGTTACAAAAAATAATTTTGTAGTACTCAGCACTTCCACAGCAAAAAAAAAATAAATACTTTTTTCTAAAGTGAAGGTACACTAAACACTTTAGTTATATCCAACACACACACCACTCATTTAAACTCTTACAGTAGAAGAAACACTGCAAGCGTTCAGCTTCATCTAAATAACAAAAAAAAACACAAACAAAACCACAATAAACAACAAATACAAAAACTCTAGATTTGCAACCTAGTCCCACAAGGTAGAAAATGTGATTAAAAAAAAAAAAAAAGCTGGTACAACACTAAAACACGATTTATGCCAAAAACATAATAAAAGCAGTGGAAGTATCTCACAGAAAAAATGTGACCCACACGCTAGCAATAGATTTGTACTGACACAATACACTGTTCAGCTGCAAACAATTGAGAGCATTTTCTTACATTTCTCTAAAGACTCTTCTGCATTTCAGACTACTCAGAATGTGATAACATGTATTTTCAGCTACAATCCTGACCTTAAACACACAGAAGTATGTATATAACTGCAAATCACATCACAGTCTTCAACTCTCCCAAAGAGGTAGAGTTCAGCTGCATTACCAATACTAGAGATTGCAATATGCAATACAAAATTTGCTAAAAGAGTAAATACTGGAAAAGGCTGTTTCCAACTCAGAAGCCAAACTATTTTGATACAAACCAAGAAAAATGGGTAAGAGCAGTGCTTTAGTATAAATATTCTCACAATAAACAAAGGAGAAAAGCAAAGGACACACAAAGACTTGCACATTTCCCTGGGCACACAGCACTTTTACTCAAGGACCTGTGCAGAGGGGCCACACATTCTCACTGCGAACACTCTACCTTCTCCGACACACTGCATACCCCTTTCTTTCACTGGTACTATTTATCTAAGAATGAAGAATGTGATTACATCATGAACCACAGCCAGAAAACAGTATAAAATGCTTGAGCTTTCCCCAAGTTTCCCAATATTTTAGTGTTATCAACATGTGTTATTCTTACTTTCTAAATACTTCAAAGCGATGTGCTATGGAGAAAGTTCTTCCTATACTTAACAGGCCCGTAACAAGAACTACCCAAATTGAGCTCAGAACTTCACAATAAGGCCTACCCTACTGCAAGCATCTAAAAAAACAAACCCAAAAGCCCTCTTAATTGTGTCTCAGTAAACCCACTGCACAAACCAGCAGTTATTCTACCACTTCAACTCAGTAATAATTTGCATAGTATTCCCCTAAGGGACTTGTCAGTTTTCTCCCTGCAGCCTATTACCCTCTCCCTTTTGAGCCATGACTACATTTGAACCACTGCAGCCACAGCAAAATGTCTTGAAATGGCAGCAATTCACAAATGTCAGACTACACTGCTTTAATATTAAACCTCAGTCTTTTTAACTGAAAGGTCAGTTTTTAAACTAAAATCAATTGATACTGAAACAGATTTTTTGCATTTGGACTTGAAAAAGTAGAACTAGTTATTAAATTAGATACTTTTTGGGTGTCAGCATTTACTAATGACACATGAATATCCCTAACATGCTATGTGCTTTCAAACATGTTAAGTGAAAAGCTCACACAAGGATCAATGCACACAGTAATGTATTATGCCATCTTGCTCTCATAAAAGGAAGCTAATATATTTGTTTTGTATGTACAGTATTGAACAGTATTTTTACTGTTCACCAGTGACTGCAAGTTCCCCTCAACACTGCTGGATTCCATATTCAACACTACATTACCACCAGCTTGCCTAGTTAATAAGAACTTAACACTACACATCTGAAAGGCTGGAACTGTTACCCAGAGAGAAACTGAACATGAAGACTAGAGAGATTAACAAATTATCTTTACAATTTCACTTTAATTTTTATATCCTGTTAGGCACACATTTTAGAGAACTCAAAAGAAACAAAAAAACCCCAAAAAACACTATTTCCTGCTCTTTTGAACTTAAGTTTTCAAAACAGCTTTCCTGAATTTTTTTTAACAAAAGAGAAAAACTAAATGCTTCCTTATAAATACATTTCAGTAATAAACATGTTGCCTCTCACTCTGACAAAGTACTATAAACATTAAAAAACGTGTGTCAGCACTGGATGCTATGCAGTGGTGCAGGCTGCAGAACAACACAGTACTGCCACTCTTCAGGTTTTTAAAGCATGTCTTCACAACCAGTGGCACACTCTATAACATTCTGTCATAATTACAAAAAAAAAAAAAAAGCAAAACCAGTAAAACCCAGGTAACAGAATGGCCAAGCACAACTCTAGATCCAACCCTCTCTTTAGAGCACAGCTTACAGGAACTGTAACTACTACTTTGCATAGACTCTCACAAGTTTCTTTCTCCCTCTCCTTCCACCCAGCTCTTTACGCTACCATCTTCTCATAGTTCTTCACACAGTCACAGGCAGTAAGGCAGTAGGGGCTACAATTACTGCTACAATTACCAATTTAGAATCTCTACAGGAATGCAGCTCCTGGCAAAAGAGAGAGCCAAGCCAAGAGGAATCCAAGAAAGTTTACAGGGCTGGATGAAGACTGGTTTCTTCATCAGCAGCAACAAGGAACATTGTTGGAGAAAAGCAACATTATTACTCCTTTATCTCATATCTGCAAGCCCAACTCTGATTATGATGTGCATGATCAGTCAGGAAAGCCACCAGTTAAGAGAAATACTACATCAACAGGTAGTAGAAATAGTATCTTCTTTCTCCAAAAAGGCACTGACAGGTCTTCTGTAACTTAACATATGGAAGGAAAAAAACCCACTGAGAAAAAACACGTTCAAAACAGGAGGCTTCTTCTGCATGGGCTGGATAACTGTTGCCATCTCAGTAAACGAATGAATTAATGTATGAGGTTGTAGCAACTTAAATGGGGGTTCCTGGTATCCTGCTAAATCCTCTCCTACAGCAACTGACAGGTCTCTATCAAAAGATTAATATATTACAGTGACTATGTTAGGAGGAATACACACCTTTCCAAGACACAGCTTGAGCTGACGTGCATGTAAATGGAAACGCAGATGCTGGCAAAGAACATGCACTAAACTTCTAGACTGAAAAGACATAGTTCACAACTATTCTTAGTGGAGTTCAACTGCTTGCATGACAGGTAGAGAGGGAGACGTAAAAGTTTGGACCCTTGTGATGAAGAGGCAAAAAAGCATCACTCCACTGTCAACAGCAGGAGGATAAAGAAGGGTAACTAGGTAAGTAGTCTGTGCTTCATGCCTAAAGTGAGTTTAAAGTAGGAAATGGAGCATACGAAACCTTGCACTTTTTTCCCCTTAGTTCCCTCTTGCAAAAAAAAAATCCAAACAGGATCTTGCACAGACATGTGTCTACATCTGGACACACAGATGGACCTCATCTACAACATGAACTAGACAGATAAGTAGAAAGTGCATACCACATAAAATGTGGTGTTCAGAAATGCACACTGCAAAATGCTTTAACATTTCAGTAGATGAAATTGTAGCCCTAGAAGACATAAGAACTAAACAAACAACTGGTTTTATACATTTATGTTTGTCTAATAATGGTGGAAAAAGTTGCCAGATAACTTCCTGAAAGACTCTGAAAAGCTTTTAACACTCAGACTACATAACAGCTATCCAGAGCCTCATATACTATTTCCATTCAGGAAAGATCAGCCACATTGATTTCATACTGTAACAAATTCATTTTGGCCCATACAGAACAAAATCTGTTCACTATTCTTGGCTCACAGAACAAGAAATATCACATATAGTTTCAGTATTCACAAATTTATTAACGCTAATACTGACAGGCCTGATAGCAAAGACTATCGAATCTCTTTGGCAGCAACTTAAACAAAAGTGAAAATAACATCAAAATTTCCAACCACTGAAAACACTGATCCACTGTTCTTTATGAAAAAAACAAAAGTGCTTCAGAAAAAGCATGATATTATTCTGAGATCTAGAAATAGAAAAATAAAAAAATAGAGGAATGCATTAATTTTATTTATAAACAAACTCATTAATTCATCTCTGTAAAGAATAAAAATGCACTGAAAAAAATACAGCAGCAGCAAGCAGAGTTGAACTACAGAAGTAAGATCCCATCTTCTTTTATTGACTATTTAGACTCCAACAGGTCAAATAACCTCTTCTAGAAAACCTAGTGTTTTCCACACAGGTAAACCTGCTAGGTCCATGTTAAAAAACTTTTTAAGCCTACTGGTATTAAATTACTAACTACATTTGGCTTTATATACACACAACATCTATATGCCATTTGCATATTTAAGGCAGCTGAACCATTTATCAAAACAAGGCTTAACTTTCCTGCCTTCCTTTCAGCAGACTAGAGCTCTTGTTTTCAGTGCTTTAGGGCAGAGTGCATTCAAGCAGCAACAAAGATATCTTTAATGTGTAATTTGTTATGTAAACTAAACAAGACTGTATATTAAATCACATGTACACCAAATACTAAAATAATGGGGGTTTCTGCTAATATTTATGCCTACACACCATTTTTAATGCACTGTCATACAGTGAAGGAGCTGCAGTGCAGTTCTAAGGCTGAAGTCAGCAAATGAAAGCAGCTGTGGCTGAACTACAGATTATCCATAATACTTAAAACCCTTAAAACCTTCCCAGACACACAAATATGAAGATAGGTTCCCCTCAAAACAATGATGTTACTCTTCATGAAAGGTTTTTTCACATATCATAGCTCCTGCATAACCACATGAACATTTAATGCATTTAAGCAAAGGGAAAACTTCTGACAGGCTCACAGAAATGTCTTAAATTAGGTCTGTCGCTGAAGGAACAAGCCTTAGCTACCACAGAGCTAATCTGTCTTTCTTTGTCAATCACCTTGTTATTTGTGTGAAGGAGTAAGAAGAGGCTAAAGGAACTTTGCTTTCTATCAGTGATGGATGGGACAGAGACTGGCAATCTCATCCTCAGCTCAAGTAAATCGTCACTTCCCACTTCATCCCAATCTGAAAGCTTCTGCAGAAGAGTCAGCACTGAGACCCGGCTCATATACAATTTTACGCCAGCTTTGACTCTCAGGTGCAAAACTGTTGAGATTCAGTGGCAACGACTCATTTAACATGCGCCAAGCAGAGCCTTGCTTCTGTATGTAAATGCTTGCTTTCAGATCAGGGGTGATTTCGTATTCAGCTGACAGGAAAAATAACAAGTCGGCACCTACTGCAACGAAATTAGAAGCTGCCAATTGCCCTGAGCATATAATGCTCCTGCCGTGTTTAATCCTGTTTCAATCCCAACATTTACTCAGTTTGTATGATGCAAAAATGGATGAGTGCTGAACATAAACTTATGGTCAGACCCAACATTCATTTTACAAAGGCTGTTGTTATCTGCACTCCTTTGCTCTTATTTTGATATAAATATGTCCAAGACCCTACCTTAACACAAGAAGGATCTTCTCTGCTATGTTCCTATTATCTGCTAGAAAAGTCGATTTTTGGAACAGTAGTGGTAAGATGGCTGAGACTACTGTGGTAACCATACAATCTCTTCACGGTCTAAAACTGTAACATATAATGTAAAATGTAAAATTGTGACAATATATTCAAGTGTTTTCTAATTACTTCCTCGCTGCACTCAGTATGTCTTTGCTTAACTTTGAAACATTTTCAACTACAGCCTAGCTCTCAGCTTCCCCTAAAGTCAAGGGATTTTCACTGGTGAGTACAAGAAAGTCAGGAACACTAGTCAAATCACAGTGGAAGCAAAACTAAATAGAAGATACCATAAAAAGTGTAGTAATTTTAAAAGCAAGTTTCGGGAGGACTTCAAAGTTGTGACAAAGAACAGTAACACAGAAAGGCTCACAATCACAGATTTAAGACAGCTAACTCACCTTCCAGGAGGAATTCCTCTCTTCGCAAGATCTATTCGTACTTTCTCTCCCACATGTCTATAAACCTCTACAATGGCTAGAATGGCAGCATCTCTCACCTGTGAACGCAGAGTTTCAACTATTAATTTCAGGGTTATATTTGCTGACAAACAACTAATCTTCCAGTTTCTACCGACCCGCATGCCAACTCATTCCACAAACAGCTGAAACAGTGAGGATGGAAGGGAAAGAAAATACAGCTGTTATTTCAAGACGGTATCTGTTCTAAGTTAGAGCATCTCCAGATGGCAAATGAAAAATGCTAGAAATAACAGCTCTAGAGGAAATTTCTGGGATTGACATAAGAATAATATTTGTGTAAAAAATGTGCTTTATTTAGGATTCTATCACAGTAGGCAATACTTCGAAAAGTTTGTCCCTGCACTCAGTCTTGACACTTCATCTTGTTTTCATCTATTTCCATGTGCAGTGAGGCCCTTCTGTAAAACTAACCACCTCACAATAGTGAACTAAAGCAACCAGTATCTCCTTTACTTCTTCATCAAAAATTACATGGCATCCCATAAGCACAAGGAAGGGGGTAAGACAGGATAGGAGAAGGGGAAAGAAGAGGTAAAGCAAGGAGATGGAGTGCCTCTTTAGAAGAATTTAAACTATAGTCATCACAATAAAAACTGCTAAAAATGAAAGTTAGTAAATGCCATTATTCTCTATAAAGAATTACTGGAACAACTTTAGTATTGTTCTTTGTAACAGTTTGAACTAAACCCACAATTACTCTATCAAGATATGAACTACAGACTATTACAGGTCTCACGTAGGAGCTTCTTCTGGAAGAAATTCTTCTTGTCAGTATTTCTTTTCCTCTTATTTCAAAGCGCTTTAGAAGAAAAAACTATTTTCAGTAATGACTAGTTTCAACCTTTGAAGACAAAACTAAAGGGGTCAGTATATCACCACATGGCTGCCTTTGCACTCTACCTTCATCTTCCAATGGATTGACTGATGCAGAAGAAAATGGTTTATTGTTTCCCATGGTAGAAAATAATGATCTGTTGTACACAAGCAAGCCTATTGGCTTGTCTTCAATGCCTCCATTTGTTTTGCTTTCATTCCTCTGTCAAATTAGAGTTGCTGAAGTACCAGTAAGTAATTAAATCCTTACCTGACTATTTGAGTCACCAAATGCTGTACACAGGTGTGGTACCAACTTGCTGAGGGTTAACGGTTGTGCACCGTAACTAAAAACAACAACAACAAATAAACAACAACAACCCACAAAACATCCCAACATAACTTAAATGGTTTTTGCTTGTTTGTTTTGCAAAAAAAAACCCTAAACTTTATGCAGAAGTGAACTTTTACCTTAGCACTGATAAAATACAAACATCAATCAAGCTCCATCTCTCTTATTAGTCTTTTGTCTACTTCCAGAGAAGACAAAAATACTATACCTTTAGTCTTTCTTTTGGAAAGCTCACACACTGTTTAACTTTTCTCATTAATTTAATTGAATCAGACTTCCCAAAGTATTAAGTTTCAGAGAAAAGTAACATTCAGAAGAAGGACAGAACCATCACCCCTCCACAGCAACAAAAAGCTTACATGTTTAAGGTAGCAACAAGACACAAACACACTCCTTCTCGGGATCGGTAATTCTTGTGCTTAAAACCAACAGCGAGACGTTCCCAAATGTACTATAAAAGAAGAAATAATTGTCTTTGATTACCAGAAGCACAATACAATGTAATTGTAGTCCTATTTTATAGTTATGTTCATTAACCACTGCAAAAAATTAAGAGAAGACAGGTCCACTGGAAAAGTAAAGGCACTTCTCAGATAAAACTAAGTTATAAAATGCACAGTATGGAACACAACACATTATCCTATGCCAAAAGCGATTTCTAAAAACCATCCTTCAGAAATCTAGCTAAGTATTTCTATTCTTTGAGAAACAGCTCTTCAAAGCATACAGAACTGTTACAGTTAACATACACAAAACAAACACTGACATTACAAACTACTGACTCAAGCAGAAGTTGCTATATTCTCTTCACTTCATATTCTGTTTGCCTGCCAAAATTCCCTCTCATCCATTTTAGCTCATCCTTATCCGTGCCCCGCTGTCCACTTCTCCCTTACTTTTGCTCTAAATTTCTTTCTTGATTTTTTTTCAGTTCTATCTTGCCCATTCATTCTAGTCCCTCTGCTTCCATTTTTGTTGTGCTTTCGTTTCTCCTTTTGTGACGGTGCCGCTTCCTGTGGCACGATTCTCTGCTTCCCTAAACCCCCCTTTACCTTCTTGCGCACTCCTTTTTCACTGTCTTTTTCCTCTTGCCCCCCTCGGCTTCATCTCTTTTTTTTTTTTACCTTTCCATCTCCTTGGCAGTTCTCTAGCTGCGCGGTGCGGTGTATTTCAAAAGAGACAAAACCAACAGAGAGTGTGAAGCTTACGAGACTTGGGATTCTCCCTGGTGCCTGGGAGCAGATGCAGGGAATCCGACGGCGGCTCCCCCAGCTGCAGCTCTGCCATGACAGCCTCCTCCAGCATCCGCGGGGAGCGTTGCCTAGCGATGGCTGCGCAATGGCAAGGGCGCGTTTTGCAGCCTGGGCACCACCCTCATTCCTACCCAATTCCATACAAATCTGCTAGGAGGTCTGGGATACGAGTTATTGGCAATCCTGTGCAGCTTTCCCAGCATTTTTTTAAAAAAGAAAACAAAAACCACCCTCACAAACAGCTACTGATAAAAAACAGGCAGCATAAGAGCAGGGAATACTGCATCGTCTGCATTAATGAGGCAGCACACTTCACAGCACACGTACAATTTTCCAATTAGAGCCTTGCTTGATCGTTTTGTCCCATCTGTGGCTTCTCGTTTGTTTGCTTGTTTCATACTTCATTACATTTAGAGAAAAAAACACCTTAGACAAGCAGGATATGGCTTGCCAAAACTGCAGAGCGTAAGAACAAATAACAGGATTTTATGGAAGAAAACATCCTTCTAATTGACCCACTGTCCTGGACAAACATTGAAAAAAGGAAAATCTCCTTCCTAGGTGTACAAAAATCCAGGTAGAAAACTAACTGTACAGTAGCGAAACACAGAGCAGTTTGAAGAGAAATTCAGCCTTTCATTAAATTAACCCTGGTTTAAGAACTGACTTCTTCCAAACAGAGAAATTCAAAAAGCTGCTTAGAAATTTCAGCTCTCGTCACTTGCTAGCAACAGGTAGTGCCAGCCTCCCTTTGTCTCATTAATGCATTTATACCACCTGTGTTCTTATTTTTATGCTTTCCTGCTCATAACCTGCTACATCTAGTTCTCGCTCATTAAAAAACCCAAAAGAAATAAAGGAAAAACACAAACAGATTTCAAACAAGAAAAGGGAACTGAAGACAGGACAAATTAAATATTATTCAGCACCACACTAGAACAAACCTGTTGAGTTGATTGAAAATAAACTTACAGGATTTATCCCAAAAGAATTATTTCACCCAGCTCTTCCAAAGGGATGTTTCTCTGCAGCAAAGGAAGCCTAAAACTCTTCATTTCAGTGTCAGAGGCACAGGAAAGACTTCTCTCTTTTGGTCCCTGCTGTGAGGATGATTGATGCTTTTCATCCAGATTTTTAAAGATACATGAGCTATCCTGGGAGCAGACACCTGAAAGCCAGGTTTCTGCTGCCTTAAGGGAGTTACCAGAAGAGCTGTATCTTCTCTTACTTAAATACACTGTTCCTTGGACTCCACAAACCTTTTATTCTTTCTAACACTGTAAGTAAGCTTCAAAAGGGATGGAAGTTTCCTTCCATCACCTCAGTATACAGCCTAACAACTCTTCAGAAACTGAAAGATGGATCAGGAAGCTAAAGCTCCTTCATGATGAGAGCCTAGCACTAAGCAACTATCACCACATTCTTTATTACCAATTGTTAGAATGAAGATGGGTCCAATATGCTCTGCTGTGCACTTACAGAAATACTATTACTGTAGAGGTAGCTATACTTTCAGGTCTGTATGCCAGGTACTGGGGAACACCTTAAGCACAGGAAAGTGTCACTCATGAACTACTTGCACTTAGGCACAAAAAAATCCTGCAATGTGTTTTTGTCAATGAATACATTCAAAACCAGAACTCATGAAAAGGTAAAGTCATGTCTTTGAGGATGACACTACAAGACTTTGATGCCTAAATCCCAGTCACATCCATGACCAAATCATGTGAGGAAATGCCTCATGTAGGAAGGGAGATAAATGTGTTTTACAGGGTTAGACAGCATGTTTGTCACACATCTAGAAAGCCAGATTTTCTAATTAAGAATGCACCACCTCAACTGCAGGACTATTCCTGCATGTTCAAGTACAAAGCTAATTTAAAAATAAATTTGGAGCTAAATAAACTTACTCCCATTTTGCAAATTCCAACCGAGGAGGCTGCTTCAAACATGGTTTAATTAACAAAGTCCTGCCATATGACATGAAAAAATCTAATCAGAATGTAGTTATGATACACAAAAACCACAGAATTGCACCGTGCCAGGTTATTTTTAGCTGAGAAATGCATCAGTGTCAAACCATTAAAAATATCTTTAATATTTGCACCATTAACAATCACCATAACATTCCAACATATTCAAAGTCAAGCTCATGCATGAGTCTTATGCTCATTGGAGGCCTACATCTCTGCCTACATTAAGTTACCGTACCATGGGAGGTGCTGTTTCGTCCATCAATTTCAAGATAAGATTCTGTGCTTGCTCTCGAACTTGGTCTTTGGCATCTCCCATACGATCTATCAAAGGCATAAGAACTACAGGAAAAAAAAAAAAAAAAAGTTGAACCACTCAATGTAGATTTTCTAACACTTCAGAATATTTGCTGAAATAGATTTAAAATATCGAGAATAATCCAGAAACAAAAGCTGAATTAAAGTTGGTCAAAATATTTTAAAGTCACAGATACATTTCTGAGCACATTACAAGACTAACAACAAATGCATTTGACTTAAATTCAAGAAAATATCTCCCAAAAGGCTAAAGAGAAAGCATGCTTCCTGTCTTAACTGCAGAATTTATTTCAATTTAATCTGCAACAAGTATGCTAGAATGCCTGGCTTTTCTGAAAAATAATCCTAGGAACTGGAGTAGGAAAATAATACTATTTTTAAATCAGTGGGATTGTGACGTATAATTACAAAAAAAAAAGTTTTTAAATCCTCCTATTGATTCCCCATATATTCTGGAAACACAGCTTTACTTCAGTAAAAGTGTGAGTAGAAGTTACTACTTTAAAACAAGTGTTCTCAAATAACATTTAATTACAATTGTATGACAGATGATGATTTCATATCCTAAAAATCAGAACTCACTCAAAATGAAAGGCCTTGCCAATTCCTTTTACTCACTGCTTATGCAGAGAAGTTGATAATTACATCTGATAAACAAATTAATGTAATGATATTTAGGAAAGTTATCTGAATTAACACTTAGATCTGTATTGTGCAAGATGTCCTGTTATACTGGTTCCCAGTCCTCCATCTGGGCCACACACACTTTGTGAGGCTCTTCCTCCCAGTGCTTTCAAGCACCAGTTCCTCAAAAAGAGCAGTGATGACACCAAGTGTGCTGCCTTCCACCAGGAAGTACAGCTGACACAATTGTGGAGATGTCATCTCCTGTAGGGCAGTGCTTTTAAAGTTAGCATATCCAACCGAAACACCACCTAGGAATAGCAGTGTCACATGCTAACAGTAACAATTACCTGTAAACAGCTCAACTTTTGTTTCTGATTTGCTCCACAGTTTTCTAAGAGCTGCAAGTACCAGTCACATAAACTACATGGAGCTTACTCAACCAGACCACAATACCCACCCAGCTCATCCTTCTGCTCCTGCAGTCTAGTTAAGCTGGGGCTAAGTTGAGTACTATATGAAATGCTAGGGCCCCCAACACAGGAAGGACGTGGAGCTCTTTGAGTGAGTCCAGAGCGTGGCCACGAAGATGATCAGAGGGCTGGAGCACCTCTCTTATGAAGACAGGCTGAGTGAGTTAGGGTTGTTCAACTTGGAGAAGAAAAGGCTCTGGGGAGACCTTATAGTGGCCTTCCAGTACCTGAAGAGGGCCTACAGGAAAGCTGGGGAGGAGGGACTTTTTACAAGGGCATGCAGTGATATGACAACAGGGAACAGTTTCAAAACAAACACCAGTAGATTAGATATTAGGAAGAAATTCTTCATTATGAGGTGGTGAGACACTGGAACAGGTGTCCCAGGGAAGTTGTGGAAGCCCCATCCCTGGAAGTGTTCACGGCCAGGTTGGATGGGGCTTTGAGCAACCTGGCCTAGTGGGAGGTGTCCCTGCTCACGGCAGGGGGATTGGAACTAGATGATCTTTAAGGTCCCTTCCAAGCCTAATCATTCTATGAACAGCACTGTCAGCAAAAGAAAGAACAGCGTCTGCAACTTGGGAGGTCTCTTCAGTACTACATTAAAAACAGCATCTGTACTAGGATGATTACTGAACTAATACACTCCCAAAATTTGAATTTCCCCTCCTGCTGTATCTGAACACCTTCCTATTACCCTAATATGAATGTTTAATCCTACAGGATCTGGATGTTCCACTGACATATTTAGCTACCATTATCAAGTTTCGGCATTTTTCATCTAACTTCTCTTCCCATCCTCCTCTAAATAAATTATTACAGCTACCTTTATTTTAGAATTTGAAGATAAGAGTTTGGGGGGGGGTTGGGTTTGTTTTGGTTTGTGTTTTTTTGTTGTTGCTTTGTTGGGGTGAAGTGGGCTTTTGTTTTTGTGATTATTTATTTTTTTTCCTGTTTTGTGAACAAAGAGAAAGCATCCAGAACTTAAGAAGTTCATTTCTGGAGTACACAGCTGACTTCTCCCTTAAATTTCCACTCACATATTGATTACATTTTTCTTCCCAACAGTATTTTTCATTACTATTTTCAGCACTTCTAAAGTGACCTTTTGCCTGTACCACTCGTTACTGGTAAAGTCTTCTACTTTAACCTGACTGTTGGGCAGCTGAAGGAAACTCTTGCTTTACACAGAGGGAAACAAACACAGCCACTGAGAAGCTGTTCTAACAGAAGGGAACACAGTGAGCGTCAGTCCTGCAGGAACACGGCTCCTTTGTGACTAATTAGCACGACTGAGTCAGTTGACGGAGCTGCAGATACCAGGGCTCCTCTCAAATCACTCAGGCAAGCACAGAAAACAGCTACTAGAAGCTGCTCAACAGAGGTGAGGTCATCGAGTTAAAACTGAGCTATGACACAGCCTGCAGATTTCAGTGTGTGCAGCTACTGAACACCCCAGCCTTTGTCACTTGGGTAGCTCTGACAGAGGAACAGCCTGCTGTGGGAGCTGCTGAAGGACCCAAATGTCTGCTAGCTTGACTTTCCCCCCCTCCAAATTCTCAAGTTTCTTTAAGACCCCATAAGGCGTAATATATTATGTTTGCATAAGACAAATTAATAAGGCTGTTGAATGCTGGCAACCAACAGCTTGTTTTCCGTTTGGTAGTTCATCTTTTCTGTCAGAATAAGCTCCTAAAGAAAAGTATCTGAAGTTGATTGCCTACTGACAAAGTTTCAGAAAGCTCAACCAGAAGAGGATCTCCACCAAGCATATTTCAATTTTAATTCCTAATGCCTTCATCACTTTTTCTACAAACGCTAGTTAGACATATCTAGGGAGAGGTATAGTGAAAACCAAGCTGAATTATGTTAGCTGCCCTTCAGACAAACAAGTGGGAAACACTCCTCCCTTACTAAATATTCTGACAACATTTGAGATGCTTGGGTCCAACCCAGCATCCTATCTGCTGATGACCCTTCTTCTATTCCCTACTCCAAGCCTCCTGGCCTCTCCCTGCTGCTCTCTAATCCTGCCCAGCCAAAATCACAGAGCAGAAGAAACTTTTGCATTCTCATAAGAAACCTCACCTAAGCCCAAAGGACTAATTACAGGTAAGCATTAGCAATGACCTTAATAAGTTTTCATTTATAAAATAATTACATTAATTTGTATCACCAGCAGTTGGACAGTAGATACAAGAGTTAAGGCCAAAACCAGCCCGAGGATTCAGAATACAGCCTCAAGAGACTAAGCATTTATTTCCTCTACCAGCACTGAAGATGATAAACAAGTAAATCACAGCAGTGCCTAGAATGGCACCCAATGAATTTTTTAACTGTATGATGCCCTGCAGCAAAGAATGCCACAGGTAGTACAAACAACTGCCTTTTGTTAAACTTTAACAGGAGTTCCTTCTGTTATTACACAAATATGAAGCCTTTTAGTTCACAGCTCCCTCTCTATTCCTTCTCTCTTGATCACTTCTACCTACTCTTGGTGTGTCCATTTTATGTATAGCCTCTCATACCTACCCATTTCAATGAACCAACTTTAGATAGACCACGTCTGCTCTACTGCAAAGATTTACAAAAAAACATTAAGCAAATGAGAATCTTTACCAAGGAAACAACATCAGTGTTGGTAAAAAGTCTGTTACTAAAAAGTCTCACATCTTATCTTAGACATAAAAGAGGAAAGGCTTTGAGGACAGAAACAGATTAAACCTAGGCAGCAATATCTTCCTTGTTTTCTCAGAAACCTTGCCAGCTCAGGCAAGGACATTAAACAGCTGCCATTAGCAAGGAGGGAGGGAAACAGCTGCCTCTGCAACCAGTGAAGCCTCTGTTCTTCTCGGCAAGATGCACAAGATAAAAAGGAATCCCACACAGGCTTCCTACATGGCCAGCAACAGGGCTGTGGTGTGACATACCCACATGGTCATGGGCTACTTCTGAGCAAAAAATCATTAGCAGGGACTCAGAGAACCTCACTGCTTCTCTCCCGATACTCTCCTCTCCCCCACAAGATACCAAAGCAAGTTTAATAAAAAGTCACCTCAGACATTAAAGTGCCTCTTTGGGTTTCTTCAGGAGTCAATTAAGAAAAGCAATAGGATTGGCCAGATGTACTTTTCCACTTTCTCCACTGGTGGAGAAAAAAAAACAAACCCTTTTTTTTTATATGATACATGCATGAATCTGCCAAGTTCTTGGTCTCAAGAATATGAGAAGAGAGCCTGTAAGTCCAAAGAGTTTCAAGAGGTGTATTAGACCAGCAGGAAAACTAGATGCTACAGAACAATATTCATGTCATCATCAGAAATTCTTTAGCTCTGGGGTAGGTTCTCTCAGAACTAGTATTACTTAGAACCAGACAAAAACCAAGCAGGAGAGGAATTCTCTTAACCAATGGCACTGCATTTCAAGGTGTCATACAGTGAAATGCCCATAGACAGCAAGCAGATGGTATTCTAAATCACAGCCTATCATTCAAGCATGGATCACTTCACATTCCCACTACTAATAAATTACAGTGTCAGCCAGCCAGGACATAAAAAGCTTTAAAAGGCTGCACAGATAATTTTTTTACTTAAAGCTTTAGGGAATCTGTCACTAAGATGAAAAAAGTCATAGCTTAAAACAGCTATGCAATTAGCTATAGAGAGAATCAAAACAAATTTAAGAATGTTCTGAGATGTTGCAGGAAATTTATGTTTTTGTTAAATTTGAAAATGTACAAGCAAATAAAAACATCTATTCTGGACAAAAACACACAAATAATGGACTTCCCTCTGAAAGCCTTTACTAAAAATAGTCTGATATAAGCAACTCCTACAACACAGCTTTTCCTGTGGTCAACAAGCAATAAAACGAAAAGGCAGTATCAGACAAAACACCTGACTTGCATTTAGATGCAACAAGGTATCT